AGACAGCTTCTCAGCAATTGGTCTAGTCACCACCGCACTGCAGGTTTGAGTAAGAGTCACTGTGGCCAGGTCTTGGAAATCGAATTTTCGGGACATAAAGTCCTTTATCATTTTTGCATACCCAGTCATCTATTTCAACGCATCTATCAATGGGATATTTACTTGGATTTGTTTCAGCATCTCCAAGAATTTCTTGTATTGCTCCTCTTTTTGGTACTTGGCCAGCCTCTGAGGGAATGGTGCGGGAGGTCTCTTCTTCCCAATGATTTGGGATTGCTATTTATGATCTACCACCTCAACTACTTGTTCCTGGGCTGTCTCAGCTTCTTTCTCAGTCTCAATCTGAATTTTATATTCTTCCTGGGCAGGCTGGACTGTCACCTCTGTCAGTTTCGTTGACTCATCTAGCTCAATGGGCACTGGTATAAGTGTCTCAGTCTGTCTTATTTCTCGAGCCCTCTCTTGCTCCACATCTAAATCTTTTCCATTCCGTAAACTCACTGCTATCAGCTGCTTTGGGCCTTGATCTTTTGGGTTTATTTGAGTGTCTGCAGGTAATGTCCCATGAGGACGATTGTTTAGAGACATCGAAATTTGGCCCATCTGCACTTCAATATTCTTGATAGCTGAATCATGTGCATCTACTCTTTCACTAATTTTTGCATTAGACCCAATAACCTGCAGCATCATTACCTCAAGTCTAGCAAACTCATCTTCCTGCCGTCCACCATGCTGCTGCTGAGGAGGGTGATACCCTTGCTGCTGATTTTGATTGTTATATCCCTGTGGCCTTGGGTAAGGTGCCATATTGTTAGGAGGTCTCATACCTCCCATGTTCCCATTGTTGAAACGTGGCTGGACTGGCCTGTACTGCTGATTTTGCTGGGCCCAATTCTGACCACCCTGTCTCTACCCTCCATAATGAGACACATAGTTCATATCTTTAGGGTAGTGATGATGATCATGTTCTACATTCCACTGGTTGCCAAATAGCTGACTAATGCAAGATGTGCACAAGCCCCCATTGGTAGTATCTACGATATGTACCTGACTCTTCCACCTTTTTGGTAAGGATACTCATTTATGTCAATAAGATGGCCATATTTTCAGCCATAGAGTTGGATGGATCTAAGGGCACTGAGTGAACCACTGGAGTGATAGGTGCATTCCTGGTTGTCCATCCCAAATTCTGTGCCATCTTGTCAAGCAGACTCTGGCCTTCTCTCCATGTTTTGCTCAAAAATGCTCCACCAGCTGAAGCATCAACAATGTTCTTCACGCTATCTGACAATCCTATGTAAAACCGTTGTATCAACATCAGATATGGAATACCATGGTGCGGACATATAGCCAGCATCCCTTTGAATCGTTCCCATGTTTCATGCAGTGTCTTCATTGGTCTCTGTTTGAAACTCAAAATTTCATCAATATGTTGAGCAGTCTTGTTGGGTGGGTGGAACTTGTTCACGAATTGCTTGACTAACTCCTCCCAAGTTGTTATGGAATTAATGGGAAGTGAGTTTATCCAGGTCCGGGCAGCTCCTGTCACTAAGAATGGAAACAATAATAGCTTGATTGCTTCCAGAGTTACGTTGGGTTGCCTTTGGGTTTTGCATATTGACAAGAAATTCTTTAAGTGCTATTGAGGATCTTCGACTTGTGTCCCCGAAAATAGTCCTTTGTTTTGCAACAAGTGCAACATATTGTTCGTGATTTGGAATGATTCAGCCTGTATCTGCGGGACTAAAATCGTTGTGGCCAGATTTTCAGCTGTGGATTGTGCCCAGTCATAGAGAGCAGCCTCTGGCACAAGAGGTGCCACTGGCGCTATTGGTACAACTGGGTCTACTTCGTGATCCCCCATGTCAGGTTCAAATTGTTCAGTTGTTTGTTATTCTGGTTGGCCCAATTCAAGACCTTGAAAACTCTCTCGGGATCTGATAATGCTTCAAATACTTCACCGGTTCTCGATGAGTTTCTAGGCATGCACATGTACAACCAAGTCAACAAACGCTAAAATTTCAATGAAAAGAATGAGTCTAGAGAAAACTAACTACACTAAGAATTTTTGTACTTCTTTCAATTGTAATTGATAACACCGTTAATTCCCCGACAACGGCACCAAAATTTGATCACGCCCAACTATGCCTTATAAAAGGACACGCGGACGTTGCAAATATAATCTAAGTATGTAGCCCAGAGTCAAACCCACAAGGAATTAACCTATCAATTACTCTCGTTAGACTTACTAAATTCTACGGAATCAACTTCCCAAACGTTGTAAATAACAGTTGATGGTATTTCTACTAACTACGAATGAATGCAAATAAGCAACTGAAAACTAACTATGATTGAGTTGTAACCAATTAAAAGAAGGTTCTAAAGTTATGATTTCCCCTATTGACGGAATCCCTTCCAGTTATGTTTCACATAGATTCACCCAATAATCGTCTATATCAATCATGAGCACTCTTATTACCATAAATATCTCCCGAGTAATCACGATAATTTACTAAACGCACTATCCCGAGTTACGCTAGTTGGCTTTATTTATTACAGCTCACTTTAGATTACACCCAAGGCTTCGTTATCTCTAATCCTGCCTTTAAACCCTTAGTTATTGATCCCTCATATATTTTAGGAGTGGTATTGTTCAACAATTACCTAAATATGCACTCTCTCCCGAGTTATGCACACTAAATAGGCACAGCTAATTGAGGATCCTGTCAATTAGCTACAACAAGCACATAGTTGAATAAATAGAGATTAAACTAGGAAAACTATATTAACATAACAAGAAATTCATCCTTCAATAGGTTCCATCAAAACCCTAGACTAGGAAATTAGCTACTCATGACAAAACAAGATAAAACTACTAAATTATTCATAATGGGTAATTGCAAGAATCAAGAGAAGATAGAAGAATTCTAATGCTTTGTTACTCTTCTCACACTTGTTCTTGCCTCCAAAGTAGTCTAAAAACAAGCTTCAACATGTCTTGGGCGAGCTTCTAAAGTTTATAAGGGTTTGGAACAAATTTTTTCCGAATTACACTTTGGTCCTCAAATTTCTGGCACGTGAACAGTTCACCGCGGTCGCGGCAAGACCGCGGTTCGACTGCGGTGAATGCTGAACATTCTGTCTCGAACACTTGGTTTGCCGCAGTTCCACCGCGGTCGTGGTGGAATTCACTCAGTCCATTTTTTGCTTCTTTGTGCTCGGGTACTTCTTGATTGGGCGTTTTCTTCACATTATTACCTCCAAAATACTCCGTAGTGCTTCCTCACTTAGAATATTCCCTACGAAGCAAAAGAACACCATTTAGATTATTTTGTTATCAATTAATAAAGCATGGTAATATTAAGGTGTAAATATCATCTATATAGCCTAATATCAATATCTTAATGTGTAGGAATTTCAATAATGTAATTACTTTCGAAGAAAAGAGATATTTCATAAGCTATTCACTATTGATTCCTAACAAAAGCTTCTAAAGATAATAGTTTGAAATATCAGATGTTCTCGAAGTGTTGATAAGTCTCAGATCTCAAATAGATGGTAGAATTGATTCATTACACTCTAAAGATATTGATGCTTGCCAAAAGATAAATGGATATAATTCACAACTTACTGTAGCAATGATCCGATTATTTCCAACATAAAGATGTTTTGAATAAGTTCTGATATTGTGATATAATTGTATTATACAATGGAAGAATATCTAATAGAGATGTTCTTAACATTGATATGCTGCTCTCTTCTATTAGATATGTCTGCATTGGTAATATCTGCACATTTGAAATACAATAGTTTATAAGCACAGTTCTGATATACAAAATTTTAGCATTTAGCAATCTACGACCGAGTGAATGCTTTGAATAAAAATTTTATAATCTACGTATTAGTTTTTCTTCAAAGACATTCAAAGATTTGTTTTTTTGCCAAACTTAAAGCAGTTTGATTGAACGTGGAGACACCAAAGAACACTATTTTTATAGCAAGAAAGTGAAAATACTTGTATATACAAATACACAAGGTTAAACCTCTATATAACACAAGATCATGTTTCCTTGCAATACTGTTTTACAGTACAATATACCTTATTAGCTAAATAACTTCATTTATCAACTCTAACTTCTTCTAATTAAAAGCTAGTACATATAAAATTTATCCAGCTTATTGTCACGTCCTTAGTCGTTAACTAAGCACATGTGCGGTACTTGACAACTCGCTCACGATCTTGCACAACTTGCTCACGTTCTTGCTATGCAAAGTCAGCCTTACTACACTCAAGATCGCTAAGAAATGTTAGAACACATGAGAATTGCCAAAGGAAGCTTTTGTATTAGAGAGAACTTGATAGTTTAGCTTGGTTAATGAATTACAAATGAATGCCCTTATTTATACTAATCACCTAGGGGCTAGTATGTAAAAAACAATTGTTCTACAAGTTCTTCCGTATTTACAAATAAGTCATTCTCTAGAATATTCTACATAGCTAGAATCTTCTAAGGATTTTCCTAACAATTCTATAGGGCTCTAGGGTCTTCCTAAGGAAACCTCTATATTTCTCTAGAACCTTCCTACAAGTGCATAAATATCTAGAACTTTTCTAAGGAAATTCTCCATAGTTCTAGAATATTCCACCAAGATCTTTTCCCTAACTTATGTAACCCTTCCATATGGAAAAAATATATGCCAAGTGGCACCTACGTGGCATGATGATGTCGCGGGTCATGACATTATGCAATTTATGCAAAAACTATAGTCATTTAACAGCAGTTCTATACGTGCCCTTTTGTATGCTCCCCAGATACTACGTGTAGCTTTTAAGCTACTCCCACATGTACGCTTCACTTTTCTTATCTTCTAATATATCGTATACAATGGAGTTACAGAGCTTACTCAGATTTTCTATTGTCTTCTCAAATCTCTTCAACTTGCAGGTAAATATCTTACTCTTTAAAATAAATTTTGTTGCTATCTATGTATTTTTTCTCCTTTTTTTATTCCAATTTGTTTCAACCCACATACAATTCTTTTTATATCAATGGCAATGGAGGTTTACCGCAAATTCATGAAAATAAACTGAATTAAAGACAGATTTTGTCTATATTTAAGAAGATCCGAAAATTTTCGAGTTAGGTTTTTGATGAACGAAATTGGGGGAAAGTTCTTTTTTTTTTGTGGAGATAAATTGAAATTCAGAGTTCGGCTTTGAGTATTCAATTTCTTTCAAAACTTGTATTGCAAATGTTTGTCTTCTCGCTCTAAAGTGTAGTTGCAAGTACTTTTTTTCCCTTGGTTTTTACTTTTCTTTGGGTCATTATTGTTAGTTTTGAAATTTAATGGTTCCTGATATCTTTTTCTCTAATTTTTTCTCTTTTTTCCCCTTTGTATTCTTTTGGCTAATTCTGAAGTTTAGTGGTTATTGCAGGTTCTCTTCATCTGTTTCTTCTCTGATTTTTCCCTTTCCCTTCTCTTTTTTTTTTATTTTGGTTCTTTTCATGATTTTTGATTTTGTAATAGAATCGGGTGGTAAAACTGCATTTTTAAACTCTAACGTTGATGAGTTTTGAAGTTCCGTGTTTTCCTGGGTGCTTCACGTACTTGTTAATTTTGCAATTTGAGGGTTGTTATAATGGAAAAAAAATATGGTTAATCATAATATTTTAACAGACTGAAGCATCAATTTGGTGAAGGTGTTTCTAAAGCTCTTATCAAAGAAGTGTCTTAAAATTTTTATTGTCTTAATAATTTTTTTAACAACATTTTAGTATTAAATGGCAATTGAGAGTCAAAAACAATGAGCCCAAGGAGCAACTTGATTTTGATTAAAGAAACAGAGTACTTTCATTGGTAAATTTCTGGTGTCCTAGGTATTTTCATACAATAATGTGGCTGAAAATTTTGACTTTTGATGTGGAAGTTTTTAATTATTAAATAGTAGTCTACTCCCAAGTTTCATATATGTTTTGCTGGTGTGTTTTTTTCCCGTTAAATGACTTTGATGATCTATCTTTGCGTCAATGATTACTATGAGTATATTCATTAGATATTACTTATTATAAAAAAGTCTGTGGTAATTAGTTTTCTTAATTTCTTGAAATGGTTTATGCATAGGGCACTATGGTTGTGTTGATGAACAATGCACTTTATTTGAAAAGGATTATTGTTCACCTCTTTCTAATTTTCTTTCATGTGTTACAAGAGATGATCTATATAATGAGAATGACGAATGGATGTATACCTACATACAATGACATTTAGAGTAATGGTAATAGACTGGATACATGTCAAATTTTAGATAGTGAATCTGATCATTATGGTCCCTATAGGCAACATGTTGGACTATTATGAAGCAACCAAGCTTGACCTTAATAAAGTGAATATTTTTACTTGCTAAGAGTAATAAGAGAATATACGACGGATTAAAAAATCATTAAAATTGACTTTAGTCATTAAGAAATCAACATGTTGAATCAGTATTTTGGATATCATTTTACTGATTGTATGTATTGATGAGTATTGAAGCTACAAGTCCTTGCTCAGATGATCATCTTTTGTTCTTGCTCAGTTGAACATCTTTTAGTTTGCATATAGTTGTTGCCTGTGACTTTTACTTTGATAGTTCTTAGTCCCTAACTAGCAAATATTCCATACATCCCAAAAGAAAAAGAATTACTTTGATCTTTATGGTTGGAGGTGCTTGATGTGTGTTTTAGAGTGGAGGTGGATAGGAAAGCATTCTTTTAGTTTATTTATTCTAATAACTGTAAATATAGGAATGCTTTGTACCATGGATTTTATTGAAAGGGTCCTCCAAATAACATAGTTAATTGTTTTCGCAATTGTTTTAACTTAGAGGCTAGAAGAAAAACTAGTTTTTGATAATTTTCTTGACTATGTTAGCTGGACTATGCCGTAATGCATACAGAATTAGTTGTCAACTTCACATTTAATAAGGATATTTCTTTCCTGTAAGAATATTGAGTCTTGAGTCTGGTCCAGTGAGGCATCAAGTACTTCTGTAAAGGATCATTGGAATACCATACATTTTAGAGTTTATCAATTTGCTCTTTAAGTTAAAGAATTAGTTTATATATTTTGCCAATCCAAGCACAAATCATATCCTATTTGACTGTCTTCTTTATATATGAAAGTAAAATTGTGTATAAAATCTATTCGAAATAGCCATCTTACATGTCACTTTTGTCAATCGAGAACTTTATACCTTGGATAGTATTCATAAACTTTTTTTGTTGTGTAAAGACTCATTTAAGTTTATTGACCATCCAATAGGGCCACGAGTTCAGACTTTATTTCTCTATTATTAAGAGATTTTCCCTTCCGTAGCAGATTAAGAGGTTGAACATACCCAACATGGTGCTAATGTGAATACAATGATCAGAATCTGTAAGGACTTGTCTATTCGTATATCTTTTTTTCCCCTTTTTCATGTTGGATTAAAGAGCCTCTAACAATATCTTTGTTGTATTTGATCGTGTAGGTATGTCTTATTTTAGAAGCTACCTCACTCATAAAGTAATATGAGAGCAATATGATGGTTAATATAAGATAGTAGCATTACAGTTGAAACTTGCTGATAGGTTTATTTCTTTTTAAGTAATATGTATCCGGTCTATTTGGAATATGGCATTTATGAGGATGAATCTCGCTAATAAGTTGTCTAATGTTAATACTCCTGGTGGAAATTGTCATCTTATATATACATTCTCTATGCTTCAGGTCATATCCGTGCCCATGGTGTTCTGTTAGGTTTCCAGAGCATTGTTCTCACTATTTCCCTATTGTAGCCTCTGGAATCACATAAGTTTCCTTAAGGCTTTAATTATTGGGTTTTAGCTCAGGTAATATTCTTCAATTTGATTCCCGTTTTTCTTTTTCTGCAATGCGTTTCTTGGTATTACAATACAAAATAGGGGTACTACATACATTTCACTTATGTGAGGTTACCTGTCTTCTAATCTGAACCACCACGTTTGTTGTATGATCTATCTTCTCAAAGATTCTTTTGCACTTGGTAAACCAATCTTTAAGTTCTAAACGTCAATTTTCTCATCTCGCATCGTCTCTATGCTTCTCCCATTAGATCCATCAGCATTAGATTTCACGCTCTATTTTGACATGGTGCTTTGTAGGATCTTTTCCGCAATTTTTACTAAGTAGTAATTATTTTAGTTACTTCTTCTGTTCACCTTTATGTTTTGTGGCAAAAAGTTTTGATTGGGGTGTTTTTATTTCTTTGGTGTTTAGTAGAACTGTTTTGAATATGTGAATAAAGACCAAATCCTATAATGCTCTCAAAGTGAGCTTTCCTATCCAACTATCCAATCTTGTGCTTACTCCTATTTGGAAATTCTCAATACACTGCTAGAATTGGAGATGGATTTATAGTTTGTTTTCGTTGAATAGACTTTGGGACTTCACTGAGAATATTCAAACATGACAAAAATGTTTATCTGAGATTTTGAGGAGGTTTCAGGTAAGGTTCATCTCATATCTTAAAAGACCCAATCCAATTTTGTTGCTTTACTCATAGAGACTTGGGTCGCTATATCACATTCATCTTACCTGTTAAGATTTAAAAGACATGAATAGCCCTTCTACTTTCAGAAGTTCAAAATAGATCACACATCGTGTGAACTGCATAAATATCTGGTATGAAACTCAATCTCTTATGTTAGAGTCATTCAATACACTTGTCAGTTCTCACAGATTTGTGTATCGGCCTCTATTATTTGAGTTATGATAAATAATTATTTCAAGTAAAAGTGCATTAGATTAGATTAGAACTCTTGATATTACATAATCTGAAATGAAGGTAATAAAAAAAAGGACAAAATTAATACTTCAGCCAACCCTGATTTATCTTCTTAAGGGAGATCTATAATTCCAGATTAAAGTATTGAATGTTGGTTTAGATAGAGTAGTACATTTTTAGCCACCATTGAATAGAATTAGATAAAAAAAGAAAGAACGAATAGAATTAGGAATATTCTACTTTAGTATACACCCTTATACGAGTATGTGATGCATACCGACCTATCTTTCAAAGATATTCTTTGTTCAAATACAACAACTAGGTGAATAGGCAATGCCTCTACATAGCCAGATAAACATCAGTTTAAGTAGAAGAACCTTAGGTGCTTAAATCATAAACAGGAAAATTTTTGATTTACTGATTATGCATGTGTATCTTTTTTCCTACTATTTTGTTTAGCTATCTTTTATGGCTATTTGCAGCAATACAATAAAACTGTAAAGTTTATCCTTTTTATCCCCTTCTTTTGCCTAGTTGGTGGTTGAAGAATGAGGGGGTTGAAGTAATTATTTATTTGGAATTGTAATTTCGAGCCTTTGATCTTGTACTTATCATTCCTAATTGTCTATATGATGAACAATTGAACAACCTAAGTGTATATGAGTAATATCGTTGAACTCAATTGGGAATATTGCTTTATATTACTAAATTTATACCATAAATTTATGGTTAAATATGTTATTGTAAGTTTAAAGCACGCGCTAACTATTGTTCCGGTCCACTTATGGCAGGAAATATCAGTTATTTTTTGACAAGGACGTGCTACTTTGTTCAGTGATTATGGATTCAACCTACTTTGATTCTAATATTTTCTATTTCTTCAAGTTGATCTTGGTTCTGCAATTGTCAAGAGTTCGACTTATTAATACTGGATGTAAGTTATATACTTAATTCTCCTGTAGTTGGTCTACCTCTGGTAGCCGGTCTACCTCTAGAACTAATGCATTAGTAATAATAAGATGATGTCACTGTGAGATGGAAGAATTTGTATGGTGTTATCCAACGGCACTGTCTCTGACTTACCTTTTCATTGTAGCTTCTTTTGGATATGCACATATAGACATAGAGGGAAATTTGAAAGGGTGAGCAAGATGATATTTGTTGTCATTGTTTTTGTAAACCAGCTTATGTCTATTTTGAATTCTAAAATATTTGAGTGCTCATTGTGATCATCGCAAATATACATTTCTATAAGTTGTTGTGCTTCTGCTAAAAATGACATTGCATTTTTGGGTGTATCTGTACTATAGAAAAGACATATTATATGGTATTGAAACAAAGAATCCTAAATATAGTGGAATGGATATAGAGCATTCATATTATTGACCCCCATTAGTTTGGTATTGAGTCATCTTTGAGTGACTGATTAATTATCTTTTCTAGAATGTAAAAATATCTTGCTGTTTTGTAGTTGGTTTAAAGAATTTACTTTATCCAATTTCAGATGTCGAGTTGTCAACTAACAGACATAAGAGAATTTTTTTGACTTGCCTCCCTTTTTTTTAGGTTTTCTTGGCGTTTTTGCCATGCTCAGTCTGTCCTTCGGCCATAACTTACAACTTGCATCTGCTTTATTGTGCCTGATGGGTGGTAGTGCTGCGTAGGCAGTAGCAGATGTTACTATTGATGCCTGTGTCACAGAGAACAGTATAAGTCATCCTTCTCTTGCCAGTGACATGCAAAGCTTGTGTGGAGTGAGTTCTTCAATCGGGCAACTGATTGGGTACACTATCAGTGGATTTTTGGTTCTCATCTAATTGGATCTAAGGTTTGGTATCGCTGGCTTAATTTGATCATTATCGATGAAATATTGAGCTAGAGTTTCGATGTGTGAGCTTAGTGTCATTAAATTTATAGTTTAGGGTATTGTTGACTTTATACTTATATGTGCCTTCCAGTGGCAATAGAACATCCACGTCTATTTATATCTAGTTCGTTAGTTGATTGGAATATAATGATGATTCCAGGTATAGTGAATGAACCGCTGCATAGTTGGGCGTAGAGAAGGAGGAGAAGATACAAGATATGTTTTTTTCTCTGTCTTCTTCTCCTGAGACGATTTGCTAAAGGGCCTACTGGCAAAACTATAATGTTAAAGGTAATTTGTCTTCCTATTTGTTCCTCTAAGTTTTTGAATAATTTTAATGAAGATGTTGTTCTCATATAGGAAGGCAAGTTACCTTTAAGATTATAGTTTTGCCTTTAGGCACAAGTTGCTGATGATAATAGCAAACAGATTATTGAAACAACTGATAGATGCCAAGTATGGTAGGAGGACATGTAGGCTTCTCGTTCAGTGCACTCTTCTGCAAAGGGGGGAGTCTGGTGCACAATCAATAATTTATGGAACGAATAGAGTCAGTTGGTAAAGTTGAAACTGTGGAATGGTAATAATACCCAATTTAGATCTGATATATGGTTGGGAAGTAAAAGTTTCAGATTAAAATTCCCTGTTTTGTGTAGCTGCTCCACAAAAAAATGGAAGGGTATCAGACTTTTACTCGAATACAGGTTGGCAGTTGATCCGTATGAGGGGTCTTAATGACTGGGAAGTTGATGTATTTGCTCAAATTGATGCAGTTACTGGACATGGTTAGATTGGAGGACAACAAGAAAGACTCACTGATCTGGGCAGCAAGCAAAGATGGTACTTTCACAGTCGAGAGTTGTTACAGTCTGCTAAAACAACAATATGGGCTTTATCAATCAGATTAGCCATGGAAAGCAATATGGAGATCAAAAGCACCTATTAAAGTAGCTTGTTTTGGTGGGTCGTAGCAAAGGGAACTTGTTTAACTCGAGAGAACTTGCAAGAGAGAGCAACTATTCTATGAAACATGTGTTACATGTGTGAAGAAGCAGAAACAGTCAGTCATCTATTCATTCATTGCAAAGTGGCAAGACAGTGTTGGAGCTCTTCCTAAATATATATGATGTCAACTGGGTTATGGCCTCTAATGTCAGGAGTCTGTTGGAGACTTGGCAACATCAAAAAATAGCAAAAAGCCAACAGATAGTATGGAGAACAATTCCTCTATGTGTGCTCTAGACAATATGGTTGGAAAGAAACAAGATTTTCCCTGAAGGGGAAAGGCAGCATGTTTCCAGGATTAAAAATAGTTATTTATTAAATTTATTTTTCTGGTGTAGGAAGTATGCTATGGAAAATATGGAACAGTATATGATTTTTCTAGAGGAATTGGGAGGAATATAGTTGCCATGTTGTGATATCTGTTGGTTGTTTGTAATTTGAAACCTTTTGTTAATAAAATTTTACCTTATCAAAAAAGAAGTAAAGAAGACACAAGATATGGGATGTTGCTCCAATTGCACTAGTGTGTGTCCTGTGGAGAGGGGTAAAAAAGTCTTTGACTGTATAGAGACTGACTTCGTACATATGAGGAATATCCTCTTTTAGTTTCGTTTGGTGCACTCATAAGGTTCTAGTCTGTATAGAACATTTGGTGATTAGGGAACTATATTTTTGTGAGAGCTCTCTACTCTTTGGTATACTGCTTATATAAGAAATCCATTGTTAACAAAATCATTTTACAATAAAAAATAATTTAAAAAATATTTGCTAATTAGTACTACACTTCTAAATCCAACAAGTAACTATATTTTTTAAAACAATCTCTTTAATTGTTATTTTCATAAACACATTAGGCACTTACGTGGATACTCTAGAAGAGAGCATTTGCATGGATGAAAATGAGGTTGCAAAAATGTATATCAGATTGTCCATATCCTCTTCAGTATTGCAAGAAGGTACTCTTTTCATCCTTTTTTCTAAAACTTATTCAGATAAAAATATAAATTCTAAAAGAATTCTGAAAGTAAAATTTTAAATTGTGATTGACAGACCGTTGTTTGACACTCAATATACCTGTAGTAGTCCATCTTCATAGATGTTTTTCTTGATGCTATTGATTATCAAATATATTTGACCAATTCCTTAATTTTAATGGTTAGTAGTTTAAAGTAGATCTGATATACCAATCTAATCGAGGGATGGAAAAAGCATTTTTCCTTGCAAATAAATAAAATACAAACTTCCACTAAAATTAATAACTGGTATAAAATTAAAACATTAAACCTCTTACCTCACCCAACCCCCATACCCACAAAAATGACAACAGAAAAGATGCTCTCTGAGCAATGAAGTTTTTATCACCTATAATTTCATACTAACAAAATTATCAGATATAATTGTTCCAAGTTTCACGCTCACGGGCCATCGCATACTAGTACTAAGAAATAAAGAAAAGACATTATGGCCTCAGAAATTCTTTTGAACACAAATTGTTTTTCCAAGTCATAGGCACCAGAAGGTAATCAAAGATTCGAGTAATATGAACGTGATTTCTTAATAAAAAATACTAAGTGTACTTAATTAAGCTTTAATACTATCACATTTAATTGAGTAGTACCATTAAAGCAAGTTGCCTGGGATTCATTCCTTAATGGACCGACTTTGGCCCTGACCAGCCCACTTAACATGTCTAGTGTAAACTTGCACACTAATTGGGAGTTGTGAATACTTGTGATAAAAAGAATCTGCTTGCAATGGAAGTTGCACCAAACCTCCAGTAATGCTAATTATGAATTAAAGTACACACTTGAAGGTTGTACCAAGCCAATAGAAATACTAATTAAAAAATATACAGTGTAATTTTTATTAATTAAGTGATAAAAGTCAACTTTTCAGCACACATCTAATACATAGTACTAATTAAAGTCTCTTTTTTTTTTCTCACCTATTGCTTAAAGTCTTTTATAATTGTGAATTGTCACCTCCCAGTTAATGCGCTTTAAAAAAAGAAGAAAAAAAAACAAAGTAATTGCACGTGGCGGAGGCATGCTTTTAAAATAACTCAATCCAAAGAATGTGGTTAATTAAGTTGATGAATGCGAGCGTTTTCACTTTTCAGGGATGTATTTTGTGAACGCTATATTGGAAATATGCGAATTAAGTTCATATAATGTCTTTGTACTCCATTAGAGGAAATTAAAAGAAACAAAGTGTATACAAGGTTCAGCTAATTGAAAATAGGTCTATCATAATTCCATTCCATTTAATGATAATCAACACAACTATAGCCTTAAGAACGAAGGACAAATTAATGCATAAGGAAATTAACCAAAAAAAAAAACCATCAATCAACAAGAAGAAAAACCACCGCTATGGTACTGGCGAACATAGCATCATGGCTATTTACATTGGATGAAATTAGATGAGAGACACCTCTGTTGAGATTAAATGAAGAAAATCTGAACTTTGAAAAGTAGCTGATATGATACTTACCAACCTTTGCCTATAAGCCACAACCAATCTAGAGTTACACCAGCAAATATGCCTCCTAAAAGAAACAAGACTAAAAGATTTCCCAAGGCATTCTGCTCTGGTCCCTATAAGAGCATAAACCCAAAATATATTGCTATTAATCAATGTATGATATACAAGAATGTAGTGGCTTTAAAGATAACTAGTTAGAGAATTAACAAACCTTGTAACCTTTTGGTGCAGAAGTGAGGACACAGACTGTGAGGTAGCCGTTACTTAGTCCCAAGAACGATGTGAGCATAATCATCCAGCCCTGATCACCATATTTGGCTGTGAAGTAGAAGGCAGGGATAAGTAGAAACCTCAAGAGAATCACCAACATGAGCCCTTTCCGCGATTCCAGTTTTAAGCATTTGATTAATGGCACGTATCTTCCTATGAGATCCCACACGTTATACATTGCAATAAGGACAAGTGCATACCTACATATCGCGATGGATTGAAAATAGATACAAATGTTAGAATGAGTTTCATGCAAATATTAGACTGTAAATGAGTCACTGCACATTTATCGAGTACAATAGCTTGAAGTAAGTGGGAAACCAACCATGATCCTAAGCTGTGAGATCCAGTATCCTCAGACAAGAATCCCGGGAAAATTGATAATGTTAGAGCGTATATAAGAAACAAATCTATTGCATAGTCTATGTTTTGTAATAACAATTGTTTGTTGTTAAGTCGCTCCACATGTTCAGGACCATGCTTACTCTACAATGGAGTTAACACAAGATCAGAAGTATTAGCACTGTGTTGATAGCACTAAACACAAGGTACAATGCCCAATAGATTTCAGAAAAGTAAAAAACCTTTGTTTCTGATCCTTCATGTTTGAAAACTCCCCCTGCAGCAAGGTCACCCGCAACAGTCTTTGATCCCTCTGAAGCTGCTTTTGCACGATAGTACTTCACTATCGGCAGCTTTGGGAAGACAAATGCATATAGGAGGACACAAAGCAGCTCAAAGAATGTAGATACAGAGAAGAACAGAACTGCAGCAGATAATTGCAGAATATTTATGATGCTTATTAGGGGATAGAGAAAAACATAGCAATAGACTGAATATTTGATTATTCAAAATAATATTAACGGTAGCTAGCAGAATATAAGCCCAGGTCTGTCTATAAGTTGTTTTGTGTTTGTCTTCAGCAATTTGGATCATTTGCAACAAGCAACATAGATTAAAAAGAAAAAACCTATAATTGTATCAAGATAAGAATAAGACATACTTGCACCGTTTCGTAGACCATCCTTTGAATTTTCAAATGCTGCTTTGGTAATTAACCTCAACGCGGATGTTAGAACACCAGATGCAGCCAGTCCAGCGAGGAAAGACTGAAAATCTCACACCAGAATAACTTTTTTTTTGAACAATTCTTAAAATCGTAAACGAATAAAGGATCGCAAAAGGTGAAATATATCAGTAGGTAGAAAATAAACCTGTATGAATTCAGGTAACATATATGCAAGGTCTCCAATCATTCCACCTTGAACATGGGCATCTGCAACTCCAAAGGCACCACTGATAGCACATATTCCAATAAAAGTTCCCAGCCCTCCCTTACCAGATGTAGCTAAATCCAACTACCAATTCATGGAACACAAAAACCAAATTAGATAGTTCATGGTTATGACACTATTACCTTAATGAAGACAGTCAACTATCATTATACTCGAAAATTGAGACAAAACAGATATAGTACTTACAACAAGAACTAAGAGCGTACTGATGAAGAAAAGACTATATCCAAAAAGATTTCTTTTCCTCGTATTCATTTTCGCCTCATTGTAAGCCAGTATTGCAAGCGTTCCTAGTGCAAATGGTTGATATATGAGGGTAAGGACTCTGGAGGGGTGGTAATCCTGTGTAAAAACCAAATCTCAATAGAATTAAATGCCAAAACTTAATATTTAGCTAGCCACAGGTGGTGTCATAAAAATCTAAATGGAACATAGATGACAAATCGACAAAAGACATTCATTCTAGTGCGAAGCACCAAACCTTATTCCAGTATTATGGCACATGAAAATCTTGACTAATAACAAGAGGACAAATTAAACAACAATAACAACAACTCTGACTCAATCCCGAGGAGGTTGGTGTCGGCTAAATATACATAGTTTGTCAATGATTTGGGCATTTCGTTACTCCTAAGTTCATAGTGGTTGTTGTCCTAAACTCGAGAAGAACCATGACGCACAAACAAGATTAAATACTCTACTATGTTGAATGCTTAGAAAAGTTAAGCTAAATTTGTGCTTGGCTTACTTGTTGATCTTAGCAAATTCAAATTGTTACTGAGTAACACGAGTAAGTCAACATACAGAGTTTCGGAATAAGTGAACTGTAGATAAATTCCACGATTAAAAAATATAATTTGATAGGACTAAAGAGTACCGGAAATAGATAGACATAATAGTCCTCAATAGTTAACATACTATTCCAAGAAAAGAGGCACCCATTGCCCAAAAGCCAACACACTAGCATTGCAGCATACTTCCCCTGCAAATTTTTGCCAAAGTTGTAGTTAAGGAACTTAATACAAGAAACAGAGAATTCATTTTCAGTCACATGTTACCAAATACAGTTGTAAAGAGAAAACCACGAACCTCAAGCTTAACTGGAACTCTATTATCCTCAGCCATTGGGGGATAATATTATGATCAAGAGCTTCTTGCAGCTAATAACAACATTAAGCACAGAATCATGAACTATTCAGTAAGTAAAATTTGTTAAGTTATGAAATTCCATATTCTATCGCATGAAAGGGAAAAGAAGGTTTATAAGGAAACCTCCTCAACCAAAAACAAATATTGGCAGAAATCTAAAACTCGGTGGGAGAGTGAGGCGAAGAAAACATTCTGATACATACGACACTACAAAAAGGTAATACATATACCATAGACATCAACGCAAAACATCTCCCACCATTTGTATAGCAGAGAGCGAGAGAGAGAGAGAGAGAGAGAGAGAGAGGCTTTACCGAACAAGAAGGGGTGGAAATTGGAAGAGAGGAGTTGACTTGAGCAAAATAGAGCGTTCGTTGGTTTTATTACGTAATCACGCCGTAGGATTCGGAGATCTGCGTTGGCACATATGCTGCTTTTGTGAAGTATTTAGTATAGCAAAGGGCAAATAAAGCGGATCACATATTCCATTTCATAAGCAAATGGCTACCTTTTAATAATGTAAATCAATTCATCATAACGTAAAATAGAAATTTTAAAGATAAATTGAGATGGAGAGAATACATAGAATCAAAATCCAATTTATGTACTAACAAATTTGAATTAGAAAACTAGCAGTAAGTAAACGTCTCTCGCAGTCGAGAAAAAAGAAAAAGAAGCAAGAGGGCATATTTGATCTTACTGTACCCTTTACCCCCAGATCGACCAATAGGAGGGAGGTTTTCGACTTAAGTTGTGATGTTGGAAACAGCAAGACCCAAACGGAGAAAAGGGTTACTTTTGCGAATAATAGGTGATTTGAGAGGTGATGGATTCAACGCTGTCAGTCAAAAGATTGAAACAAAACATGGAAAGTTGTTGGTCCTTTTTTTCGGCCGCTGAAATAAAGGTGCAAAAGCATATTGTGAGTCGAAATGTTAAATTCTTGAAAGGATGTTCTTACGTGAACAAGAAAACAACAAAATGATATTCCAAATGTTAAACAGGGCTAAATTTCAGATTTTAAGTCAAGAGGGTGATATTTCACTAATCCAACATTTATGTAAGTTGTGGTACATAGACTTTTCAAATATTTTTCTTTATAGAAAATACTAATAAATATTAAAATTGTACACTCCATCCGTTTTTTTTATATGACACTGTTTTTTTTCAATTTATTCCAAAAAGATTGATAGCTTTCTCTATCTGAAAATTCTTTGATTCCAACATTCTCAATTTATCGTTAGTGTCACTCTTTAAGTCTACTGGATTCTAAAAGAGTTTTTGGTATGTTATATACTTACCAAATGTGTGTTTTAAGTAATTTTTTTCTCTTTTTAAAACCTGCCCAATCAAATGTTGTCTTATAAAATAGAGATCCTCTCTTCTCCTTTCCGACTTTCCGCATCTTTTTGAAGCAGAGATCCTATTTAGAAGCCAAGTTTTTTGCTTTTGAGCTCAGAAATCTCTTCTTGATCTTTCCAATTCTCTTTGGTTCCCTTAGTGCACTCTTCGTTTTTCTTGCATATTCTGAAAGCTTTTACCTTTGAGTGAGTTAGGCAGTCAGTTGCTACATGCAGTGAAATACATGGCTATTTGGTAATATCGGATAAGTACTAAGAAAAAACAATATGTGGTCGATAGCCATTTGTAATACAAACACAAATGCACAATTGCAGGATGAACAGTAGTAGAACCTGTCCTATTAGGGGAAAAAGGGGAAAAAGGTCCGATTACCATTCGCATTATGATTGTGTGAGCCATCTCAAACATCAAGATGATGAGAATTCGTACACGTTAATTCAGATTAAATTAAACATCTACATATGATACAGAACAAGAAATGTTTTACAAACATGTAAGCCCACAAAAATACACGCTACAACATGACAAAAGAAGCGAGCGCTAGGATTTGTGAATAAATAAGCACCTACTAGAGGTTGAACCTGGTACCAACACCCAGAAGTACAAGATCTCCATTGTGATGGCTGCATAGCATTAAGCTGATTTATGCGTCTTCGCCACTACTTTGATTGCCATTTTTAAGTATATTGAACTTGCAAAGAGGGCAGGTGGCATTTATGAACAACCACTTATCTATGCAGGCAGAGTGAAAATGGTGACGACAAGGGAGCTCACGCAGCTCAGTTCCATCTTCATAGGGACAAAGGCAAATGCAACATTCCTGCAACAGACAAGAATGAACGAAATCAACTTATAGAAGGATTGGGAAGTTCTCTAGGTTTTGTGAAATTTTATAATCAAAGAACAACAAATGTATAGAACATACGGCATCTTCCAATGGGAGAACATGCTCAATGGGTGTATCAGTGTCACATTCAGTCATTACTCCTCCAAATGACTCTTGAATCTCGCCATTTTGTTTTTCAAAATCACCAAGTTTTCGAAACTTGTATTTAGGCAGCCTCTCAACGTCTTCCTTGGTTGCTCCTTCCTATCTCATGAAAAAAGTAAAATTGAGAAAGATGTTCAGACAATTGATGCAAAAAGAGAGAATCTTCAGAAAGCAAGAGACACAACCAATAGCATAAAATAGAAAATAAAGGCTGTTTTTTTATTTATTTATTCAAGACTATATCAATTAAAAGCAGGAAGACTATTCAGTTACATCTTCCAATTCCTTTCAGAGATGGAATTGCATAATGTAAACATAGGTTATCTCATTTCGTGAAATTCGACAGAAAGAGCGAATAATAAAACAAAGATAAGACCCTATGATATTAAATTTAAATTACCAAAAATATCGAGTAATTGGAAATATCATTTTACCACTAATTACAATTATCAGGCACATCATTTCCACCATGTTAACCAATACCATTTGGTAAATTATAGGGCTTTTTCGCATAAATCACAAGATCCTAAAGCAACTGCGACACATAAGTTGAAGCAAATTGCTACCATAATAATATGAAGGATGATATCAACATTCTTCTAGGTATCAATTCAATTTTGGAGAATCAGCCACAGAAGGGAATCTGGGGAAAACGAGTATTATTACTAGTGAATTGGGTAAATGGGTGAAAACGGGTTGGTAAGCATATTCAGTCCCCAAAGAGTACAGACCAGACTTGACTTTTGGAGGGTGTATGATTTATACTCAACTGATCGGAGCGGTTTGAGGAGAGGTAGAGGTAGGCCAAAGAAGTATTCACACTACCCTCCACAGACCCCACTTGTGGGATTATACTGGGTTTTTTTTTTGTTGTTGTTGATCGGAGCAATGAATGGAAAAGACAGTTAAAACACGAATGTTAGATGCATGTTTCAAAGATCATGGATGCTTGTCTACAAACATTTTCTAGATTAGCCTAGGAGGATTTCAAAAGGAAAAGCCAAGGCCCCAATTACTAAATTATTCAGGTCTTAGAATAACGTGAATCCGAATAGGAACTAGAAAAATGTGGATTCAGCAAAGAAATTGACTACCAGTAAACCAAAATCAAGTCTACATAGTTCAGTCACAGATTATTCCCTCTGTTTCATTGGAAGTTGCCTTTTTTCTAAAAGTACTGAAGTAAACTCTAGCTTTGCAAGCTAAGCAGGCTGGACAATAAGGATGATGATAGGAGACAAAGACCAACTTCTGAATTCTACAGGGCACCAGGCTTTAAAACTAGGCAACATATAATTTAAGGGGGCAATTGATAGGGGGAAATATGCAGCCCGCCATACCTGTCCCTGGACATACTAAACACTATTGTGCGCCTAATGGTATGGTTGAAACATGACTTTGGAAGTTGATACGGAAAACTAAACTTCCAACCAAAGCAATACACTTCAGCTGGACAAAACTGAATGAAGCATGTTTGACCCAGGACAATCTCAACAAGAGAGAGACTATACTCTGTAAGAGATGCTACATGTGTGGTGTGCCACCAAAATGCAGAAGCACAAGTCATCTATTTCTCCAGTGTAAGTAGTTGTTAATATCTGGAGCATGTTCTAGTCAATTTTTGGAGTACACTGGGTTAATATAGTATTAAGGAAGCGTATGAAAACTGAATTTCATGGAAAGTTGGAAAATCCATCAAAAGAGTCTGGAAAATAGCCCCCGTAGGTATTTTTTGGTATGTATGAACCGCAGATGTTTTTATGGGATCTCAACTCCCAACACTCCCTCCTCAAAGCTAAATATCTTCTCCAACCTCTTTTGCTGGAGTAATTCGACTTTCGTAAATAATACTTTTTCTTTTTGAATTTTGTTAGCTCATTGATCGTAATTTAGGGGCTACACATGTATAGGACTAACTCTCTTCTGTAGTTACTGCATCTTCTTGATGCCTATCAATGAATTACTTCATGAAAAAGGAGGTCTCTACCGTCTACTTATATGCCTTTTTTTCGGGGGGGGGGGGGGTGCATAGGTGAGAGTACATCTTTGGGACTTCTTGTTCTACTTTGGATTTAATAATTTATAATGACATTTCCATCCATGAGAGAAAAACACATGAACAACTAGCCTGAAAAAGAACATCTACGTTAAGTCGTTAACCACGAGATCAAAAGAGAGGTGCTAATTAGAACCATAATCAAACACAAAGGGATGAAACAAAAGAATATGATATCAAAAAATATATTTCCACGATCTATTGCTTACCCTAGCAAGACTGTTTTTGAGCTGACAATTGGAACTAGATCCCAAAAAGCAGTTTTTACATGTACCTTGTGACTATAAAAGGTAAAAAATATTACAGAACTACCTGGTCCGCCACTGCATATAAAATAGCAATGATACACGGTAGGCAGCAACAAACAGCAATTCCAATGAGACAAGCCACGGCAACACATATAACAACAAAGAATACATCGAATGCTAGAAATGTGAGACAAAGCCTGCAAAAGAACCCAAATCAGCATCACTCCAAAGTATATCACAACAATTACAGAGATCAGAGACTCGTTTGGGACAAACCAGTAAAGTTGAGGTGCATCATGAGTCAAACTTTCGCCACCAGCGGATATCCAATAGAAACCAATTATCCACCAAATGAAAGAAAACATGGTATTTGCAGATTCCAGATGCTTAGCAACACTGAACAATAAATTAAGAATCATTAAAACATTCTGAGGCACGGGCATAGAATTCTAGTCTTCTAGAAACACTGAGGTATTGACACGAAATAACTAACAACAGAAGAAGAACACTGTTTCAAGCATTTTTACACTCATTGGCAACAAACTTTTTTTTGGTTGGTTTCCTTATAAGATTAAGGACAAGCTTTAATTATCCACAACAGGCATCAATTTCAACAGCGTCAAGCCTCATAGTTACATATTCAGCAGCATAGAGAACCTTTCTCCCACCTAACAGACCAGTACCTATGTGTTTCAAATGCACTAGTAACATGGATTTCCAATTCTCCACATGATAACTCTGAAAGGCAGCACATGAGTATACTAATTCATTTACAAGAATCTGAGCCACTAATACCTTAACCAAGAAACTATACATACTAGTATTCAACTTAAAATGCCTGTTCTAACCTAACAAGTGAATCAATGAAATGAATAAGCAACAGCAAAAGCAACAGAAGAATTTACTTTTTCGATTATTAAGAATATATTCATCAAATCACATGCTTCAAAAGAGAGATTATACCTAGTTTCATCCTCATTCTGACGGCTCTCGGTGTGATAATCGCCAGCTTCCCCTCCGTCACTTCCCGAACTTGAACCGTTCCAACCTCCAGCAACGCTACTCTGCTCAGAATTCAAACTTGTAGCAGGATTACTAAGCTGAATTCGGCGTCTATACTCAACGCAAACACAAACCATGTGAAGCAAACACTGTAAAGCGTATCCAACAATCCAAAGCCTCAAAGGCATAGAAGGTGACTCATCAAGGCTCAAAATCAACACCGAAACCGAGACAATCACAAAAGCTAAGTTCCAGATAAGATCTAGTATCACTATAGGTTTAGAGTATGCCCAATCGCTCTGCCGTTCCTCAATTTGCTCCGCTGCAGCTTCCCTCACGCGCCTCGACGGCTCTCGCAACATTCGCCGGCTACTTGCTCGCCGGAGAAATCGAGCCGCTCCTCTTAGGCTTGGGGCACGGCGCGCTAACCGTCGGCTCCTAAAGAGTTGATCGGTGAGCAACGGCGTCGTATCAACTCCGTTAGAACTGTCATCGTTACCGGCTCTCGCCGTCGACATCGTCGCCGGGAAATGAAATTAACGGAGATATTTGAAACGATTGACGGTGAAATATGGGATAATTGGAATTTGGATGAGGAACAAGAAATTCAAATATTCTGGATTTTCAGATATAAACTGTAAAAACACTGTTTATGTATGATTGGATTTATGGACTTAACTCACCAGGAGTATAGAAATGAATGTACTCTCCAGGACATGCACCGTTTTTGACTTTCATCTGTCGACCTGCGATTTGCAAAAATAAACAAATTAGTACTCTATTAAATAAAAAAACAACCTTACCCACCACGTTTTTCTTTCGTTTTTTCGCCCCTTTGATTTTTGACTTTTTGGTGTATCCGATATTCTGTTCAGCAATCGATCTTGATTAATTTTTTCTCCCATTAAGAAAAACAAAAAGATTACTCTCTCCGTTTTATTTTTGACTATGGTATTTGACTAACTACAAAATAAAAATAAAGAATGTTTAACACATAAGATGAAATATACATTGCAACGGATCAAAAGAAAAAAGCCCAATACATATGGAACTCATTTAACTTGGGTCATTTGCATCTATACCCGTTTTTTGTGTCACATTTTAACTTGTGCCCGCTTTGCAAAAACAAATTACAAGCGTACCCGCTTTTTCGCATAACTTCAGCATACGGGGCTGAAGTAGCAAAGACAATCACGCAAAACTTCAGCATTCTAGTAGCGGGGCCTGAAGTTCAGCTCTAGAGCTGAAGTTTTTTGGGTTGTAACTGGGAAACTTCAGCTCTAGAGCTGAAGTTTTTTTACCACCTATTAATATTATATACTAGAGCTGAAGTTTTAGTGTAGTAAATGGGAAACTTCAGCTCTAGAGCTGAAGTTTTAGAAATTCATAATCTAATGTTGACAATGCTTCTGCCATTGTTGCATATGAGGCTAAGACTAGGCTGAAGAGATCAAATAGTGCATCTGATTTAGTTATCCAATCAAATACTAAAGATTTGCTTATGAGCAAAGGTGGTGGATCCATTATATCAGAATTTTAGAGTGCAGAATATAGGAGAACAATGCAGTACCCAGCACTATGAGTGCTTCAGACATGGTGATTCCTATCACTTGCATGGAGCATAGCACAATTAGGATGGATAGCAGGTCCTTTGGCTATTCTTTTATGTGCAGCAGTTACCCTTTTTGCAATATCCATACTTTGTGATTGCTATAAATCTCCAGATTCTGCAACACAGATTTATAGGAAGACAAAGATTTATAGGAAGACAGGTCCTTTGTTTGCATATTTCGGCTTTTATTTCAGAATAAGAAGAAAACGAAGGAGGAGAAGAAGGAGGAGAAAGGGGGCTGAAGTTATTTAAGAAGTGAGTATAAGTTAAAAGTTTAAAAAAAAAATGGGTATAGGTTAAATGGGAGCGACCAATTTCGGCGCCCGTGCAATTTAAGGTTCAACTTGGCATCATTTTTCATTTTGACACTATATATCTACCTTGTTTTATTTTGGCACTTCAACTATATTTCTTATGTTTCACTTTAACACAAAAACTTAAACCAGTGTAAAAAATATAGCGCGTGTGTATACACAAATCTGAGTTGTAATAAATATCCGATTAAATGTTGTCACCTGGTTTTTTCATCCATGTCAAACGAATAAATACTAAAATACCCGAACCCGGTCGTATTTTTTCATCCACTGTTGCCCCATCTTTATTCTCTAAGTTCCAAAGCTTTCATTTGCCGATTTCATACCTGGTCCATTTAGATGAAATAAACCAACAAAAAATATGTCGAGTTCAAGTATTTTAGTATTGACCCGTTTAACATGGATGAAAAAATCAGGTGACAATATTTAATTGGATATTTATTACACTTTAGATTTGTACACACACGCGCTATACTTTTTGAAGTGGTTTCAGCTTTTGTGTTAAAGTGAAACATAAGAAATAGAGTTGGAGGGCCAAAATGGAACAAAATAGAAATAGAGTGCCAAAATAAAAAATAGTACCAAGTTGAATGGGCTCTATATGTATTTGGGCAAGAAAAAATTTTAAGAATTCAATGGATATATAATTAAAAGTTAACGGATATAGGAACTGCCTAATTTTAAGAAAAAGAGAATAGTAAAGGGAAGATAAATAGTTCTTCCATCGATGATAAGTATATATTAGGTGACTTTATTGGCTAAATCCATCAATTTGCATACTCATATTTGGCTTTTAGTCTTCCATTCAGGAAAGAATAGAGATAACTTGCTAAATTATGATGCAAACTTTTGTTATTTAGTGAAATATTAGTTACTTAAAAATTAAGTTAATTACGAGTTTGTTGTGGTGGAAGTATTTTAGAATTGGTGGTTGTTTACAATTATGAATCTAATCTTTAACAAAAATATTCTAAAAAATTTCAATTAAATTAAAGTGCTTTAACTTAGTTAAATTTTTCTTATTGGATTTTTTTATTGTGTAAATATTCTTACTGATAGATGTCAGAAGGGGGTGGGAGGAGGAGAGTCCGAAACCTAAATAATGACTTTTGGGACTCAAAATACGTTTATACAGTTTTAAAAAAAATTATTTTTCTACTTAAAATATAATATTATACTGTATTTTACTTTAACAGAAATTTTAGTAAAACGCAGTATGATAGTGCGTTTTACTCTCTCAGAAAAAGTCCATTCACTTCTCAGAAGTTATCAACTTTAATTTCCTTGGGAACTTAAATTTCAGCTTTTGTCATACTTGGGAGCATTAAGCTTGATTTTCACCCCCAATTAGTGCTACATCACTGGTTGGCAGCAACAACAACAACCTAGTGTAATCTCACAAGTGGGGTCTGGGGAGGGTAATATGTACGCAGACCTTACCTCTACCCCG